TCTGATGGACTTTTATGATTATAATCAGTTTGCCGCCAATCTTGACTAACCATTTTCGCCAATCTCGACTAACTATTTAATGATAGCATGCAATTGCGAAAATGCCGTAAAATCTGTTTCAAATGCAGTTTGAACAAAATCATATTAAAGTTTTTCCACTTTTTTCAACTTGTAATTTTTTACACGACTGCTCTACATTTTTTACGCACATGCAAAATTCCCATAGTCAATGGACCTGCACATAACCCAAGGCCACAGCAATTCCAGTACAGTAAGCACACACAAACACACACACACACACACACCACCCGCAGCTGTCATTGACAATATAAACATAAATATATATATAAAAAAAAAAGGAGAATAATAATAACAATAATAGCCATGCACCTTTAAAAACAGGTTACAAAAGCAGCCGCAACGGCAACAACAAACCAACATTTATTTTTTATCAATCACAAAATAAACATTCAACTCAACTTTATGTGGCAAGTAGATGGGAGCTGGAGAAGCGGGTAAAGGCATGCCACAATGCTGACATATTTTACACTTCTCCTGTCAATGCAAACAATTTTTTATTACAATATTATTGCCGTAGGCATTACATGTGTAACCCTCGCTTCCCCTCCCAACGACCGCCCGCTGCAACAGTTCTTTGTTAAAGAATAATATATACACATACATATATATGTATATATATATATATATATATGTATTTGTATTTTAATCTGCACAGCCTTCATCATAATTGAAATGAAAGCAACGTCATTTGATGATTCCCCGTTCTCCCCTCCGCCTCCCCCCGCTGTCCAGCCGCCCCCCACTTTCTGTATAAATATAAAAATTGCTATTTTTATGATTTGTTTGACAAGCAAGAAGAGAAACCCCAAAGAAAAACACACCTAACAAGATTCCTCACATTTTCCGTCATTTTTCATGACGTTGACAAAATACACAAAAGGAACGAAGAATCCAAAAAAAAAAAAAATAAAAATAAATATATTGCCGGCAACATAAGCACAATAAATGAGCGCAAAAATCAATTGACAATTTATTGTTCAAGGCATAAAAAATGAGTCGAGTGGCAGGAGTGGGAGATGGGGAGCAGTATATGGCCTAAAATCTATATTAAATTACGAGGCAGCAAGCAAAATGGTCAAATAATAACAATAAAATTGAAGTACAAATTTACTACTCACAAATGATAGACGACACGATACTCTACACCCCAAATAAAAAAGATAGTCAGCATATATTCTTCATTCTTATCGACTTTAAAGAATGATATATTGTATAAGAATAATTTATAAAAATATATATATTTTATATCTGATGACCGTTTACGATTAGGCAGTGAAAATTGTCTATGAAATGCGTGACAAACTTCCAAACTTCAAAATTTTAGAACTCCTCTCTATAGAGCTCAAAAACAGTGTAATGATAAACCTAATTTTTATAGGGTATAACCACCAACATACCCCTTAAACCAATAAAGAGCTCTATATCGACACTGGAATCGATACCGATCAAAAATTTATACTAACCAGGGTCGAAGATGCCTTGTTGTGTCAGTTACACATATTTTGCACAACTTTATGATACCCTTTATGGGCATTTTTATGGGTTCAGGGTATTAAAAAGCTGAGAATAACGCAATCTATGACACATAAACACACATAAGTAGTATGTCCACATATATATATATAAATATATATATTAATATATAGATGTTTCAGTATTACTTTGGCTTTTTTCCTTTCTTTTTTCTTTTTTTTTGTTATTTGGTGACCATTGTTGTTGCTGTTCTTGATGTTGTGCTCAATTTGCCTTTAAATTGTCCCGAGTGTTAAGTGGCGCACGTTAAAAAAACATTTAACGTTTTTATTTACGTATGAAATGGGCAAAAAGGCGCCGCATGCGGAGCGGGGCAACGGCCGAGGGAAAAGGGGCAAAGCGGCGAAAGTGCTTTGTCCTGGCAATGGCATAGACACAATACGAGTGGCTCCAAAAAAATACACACAAAATACAAAAAATACAAAAAAATTTAGAGACACATATAAACGAGCATGTATTGGAAATGAAAGAGAATGGCCACAAAAAACGGAAATTAAAATAAAATATGACATACTAAATTGTATGTATTCTGCAGATTGCAAAAAGTATATATGTGTGCATGTGTGTGTGTGTATGTGTGTAAAGGATAAAGCGAAAGTATAGTGACAAAATAAATATAGCTGAAATACATGATGGGTTTCAACAGGACCATCGGAATAACAACTATCATTCGCATAAGGCTCAGTTTTACAGCTAAAGACTTCAAATTTTGGAATATAAGTTCTCAGATTAAACTTACTATTTATCGGGAACTTCCCCCGTTTGGCGAATATCGATACAAATCGATATCCGATTTATATATAATTTACCCTGACATATTATAGATCAACTTTAAAAATTTCATTAAGATCGAATAAGAACGCAGATTTTCTAACTAGCAAATGGATCAAACTGCTATCACCAAGGCTAATATGTGTTTAACAGCTGAGTCCAGGGTATCTCACAGTCGAGCTGTCTCGTCTATAACATTTTAAATTGTATCCTATCAACCAATCAATTCCCTATTTATAATTCACTGTTAATTACAATCACTTCTATAAAGTCTATGTACTTTTAAATTGTAAGTGCAAATATTTAATTACTTTATTCGGCAAATATTTTGAATTTCTTTATCTTTAAGCACTTTTTCAGAAAAATATAATTCAAGTGAAAACGAGTAAGAATATTTCAACCGATGAATCAGCTGCAGATATTGCAGCGTTCGTTGTGTTGCACAACTGTGCAGCTCCGGGGCAGGCAGATGCCAAGAAAGAAATGCATGTGGATGATGCAGTGCGTCCAATAAGCTACATCGCCTGGAGCCGGGACCTGCCACGCTATTGTTGTTGGCACACGTTAATCTATTATCGCCAGCTGTTGGCCATCAGGTGCCCGGAGCCAGCTGCCGCACAGCTCCACAAGGAAATGTTTGGGCGTGGTCTCTGTCACCTGCACACGAGGAGGCGTCATAAGAGGCATTGGGGCAACAGGATAATCTGATAGATGTCTGTCGCATTCATGGCTAGGTCTATTTAATGATAATGATAGTCGAGATAACAGGCAGATCCAGTCAGGCTGCAGTCGGCGCAAAGATGGCTCCAAGCGATTCAATGATGGCATTGTGGGTGCTCAGGTCTCCCTGGAAGCTGGAAAAGCGTTGATCAGCAAATACCGATCGCTATGCAGGACTCTCATGGTCTGTATCTTGGCAGAGGAGGTGCAACAGATGCGGTCTGCACTCGATGAAACGATCTCTAAGCAGCAAAGAATTAGCTTCAAACTTGAGTACTAACTGAATCTCAGCTGTCAGAACTATATGCTCAAATGTTGTAGAAGTATATTTGTACTTGTCGGCCAGCTTTTAGGCAACAAACAAAAATGCTGAAGAAGAAAAGTGGATAAAATTATTATTGTTATTATAATGGTGTCTGGGCACTTGACATAACCTTCATTAGGATTCGTTTGCTGTTGCTCTCTTTAATTTATGCTAAACGATCAACGGCAGCTGCTTATGTCTACGTTTTATTTGCCCAGCAAAACGAAAACAATAATTTAGTGGGGGCTGCAGAGCAAACTGCTGCACAAGCACAACAAAAATAATAAGTGGTGGACTCAAACGGGTTAAACAGGAAACGGAAGTGCGCACAAGCACACAAGCATGCACATGCTTACACAACCCACACACACACACGCACACACACACACACTTAAGGCAAACTCATTTGCCTTTGCGCTCACGTTCCCCACAAATTTATGCCAAGAAGCAGCATGCAATACATTTTTCTTTTCTTTTAGCTGCCGCCGCCGCCGCTGCCTGAAAGTATGCTAGAGTTGCGTCAGCTTACGGCATGCCACAACTGCTGCCACTGCTGCTGCCAGTTGTTTATGCCGCCCGCCGCTGGGCGGCGCTCTTCAAACACAGATTACAAATCTTACCACGCGCTTTTTGACATTTATTGTTATTTTCCCATTTGTTGCAGAGTTTTCTTTTGCAATTGGCTGCCAATTTGGGTCACACTAAACTAAAAAGACAAGGCAACAACTACAATGTCGACCAGAACCTAAAAGGTTGTTTGAGTTTTTGGCTCATGCTCTGCAAACACAATGAAGTTATTTAATTGCCAAAAACAACAAGAAATGGCTGCATGTGGCAAGTTAAGGTGCAGATGGTCTTGTAACAACTCATATCGATTTAGAAATAATAATTGAAATATATTTTAAAATGAAGCAAATCGATTTCCATCTCTTTACAATATAATGATTATATGCAAAAGTATTTGTCGATATTAATAAAGATTGATTCTGGAGTTTCAAGATATCCAATCAAAAAGTGGTTCATACAAGAACTGTATTTTCAACCATTTATATCTCTGGCAACTATATAAGATATGATTTGACTTACTTCTCCACTTACCATATTTTAAATATAGCTTCAAAATTGAGAGTAGATTTTTATAGAAGCTGAGAGACACGGCCATATAATTGATTATAGCTAATCAAGAATAAATATAATGTATATATAATTCATACCTAACCTCAAAGTCAACGCCGGCAGGCACATCACATATTTGTATAATTATGTATATAATATACTCCCACTGTGCCCTGCACTTACGTGCAAGGTGTGTAAAAATCTGGTCAAAGATAAAAAAATCAGGCCGAAGCCGGAAATGAGATATCACACACGACTAAATGCATAACGCATCCGGCTGAAGAAGTGGCCACCGGTTCGACCGGAAGAGCCTGGAATATGGCTGCTCAAACTCACACTCTTCCATTCTCTCCCACACTCTGCTGCTGCGCTTCCGTGCCAATGAGCACACGCACTGAGCCTTGAAATCAATCGTTATCTCCTTCTTTTGCCCGCCACCATCCCAGAAATGAATGATGCGTTGATTTCTACCAGATTGTTTTTAAAAAAACACGAATGCTTATATATTTGGCAACGCCGGCAACGTCGGCATTGCCATACCAATGAACTGTTACAATATTAATGTGTGGATGTGGATTCTTCTTCTTGTTGTTGTTGTAGCTGGTGGTTGTTGTTTCTATAAGCAAGCCGCCTTCAATTTAACGAAATTTTACTTCCTATTCTGGTTGTTGTTACGTTGCATATCCTTGGGGAAGGAGCGCACGGGCGGCGTACGAATGCGACGTGCCTCACGCGAGCGATTGCGCACCACCTTGGAGTGGATGGCGCAGGAGACGCAGTAGTGGAGCTTCGCATAGAGTTTGGGCAGCACATAGGTGTCCCAGATGCTGGCCTCGCTGATGTCGCGCACAGCGGCCGCCTCGACAATGTTGCGGATGACAAACTTCTTGATGGCCTTGTCCTTGGGCACACAACGGGCACAGTTGGTGCAGCGCACGGGCTTCACATGGCCGCGATTGTGCTTGTTGCGTCCACCATTGCGACGCTTCTTTGTCATTTCGGCAGCTGCATAATGTTCAATGGGCAATGGTTAGCCATTGTCTCATGTTTAATTGCTTGGATGGCATTCATATTTACCTTATTTAACGTTTGAAAAAATCCACGAAGTAAAATCCGCGTGTTCACGCCAGGCGACACTTGTACGAAAAGGGAGTTGCCAGCTGCAAATTTCTATTAATAGCAACTCTGAGTGTGTAGCGTTGCCAGTGGCCAATACAGGGTTGCTTGTAAACTATCGCCAGCTAGTTAATCGCAACAGCGCTGCGTTCAGTATACTCAACAGTTGTGCTGCAGTTGCCTTTAAACGAAATAATCAACTATAAAATTTAATTATGTTTATATTTATATTATAGATATATTTTTTCAATTATTATTATTATTATATTTTATTTCATTTAATTACTTGTACTCATTTCTCTTGCACATTGTTAGAATGGCGCCAAAGGTGAGTTTTGATAGCGAAGCATATGTTTTTGTTTAGTTTTGCAGCATGTGCTGCAATTTGTTGATATTGCCCCTCAGTTTGCTGGATAACAGCGAACACGAGCCACAACGTTGTTTTATACCAGCTGGAAAGGGTCACGATGACAAACTGTACGCCACTTGGAACAAATGCGTGCTGGACGACAGCAGCTACTCCATTTGTCGTGTGGCGCAACGCATGGGAACTGAAACTTGCTGCTTTATTGACAATGTGGTCACCTCGGAGAATTTCGCGGCCCGAAAGCAACGCCTGATTCGATTGGAACCATTACTTTTAGCCTCTGGCGTGGAAAAAGTCAGCTGCACTGTGAGCATTACCGAGCAACTGCTCCAGCGTCCAGAACTCTCTTTGGCGGAGCTGCTTGAGGATGTGCGCGTATTTTTGCGCTATCTAAAGTTAGTCAAGGGCTGCTCGGTGCAGCACAGACGTCTCCAGGAGCTGGGCATTGCAGCAATTGCAATAAGTGATGTGTGCGGATTAGATTTAAAGGAGAACAGTTGTTTTGAGGTGTTGCCGGAAACGGCGCTGGAAATTGCGGATGTGCGTCTGGCAATGCCAACAGCGTTGCCCAACCCAAAGCGTTTTCTACACCAAGGCTTTGAGGAGCCTCTGGAGGCACTGCAGCAGCTGCTGGAGTGCGCTAAGCTTGCACAGTTTAAAGGACTACCCTTAAATGCGCTCGTAGTGGGCGCAGTGGGTTCGGGCAAAAGTTGCCTCCTCGCCGAGTTTCTGCAACGAAACAACTGCAATTGTTTTTATGTGACAGCTTCGCAAGTGCTCCGCTCGCATCCTGGCGAAACGGAGCTCCAGCTGCGACGCATCTTCCAGGCAGCTGGCAGTTTCAGGGAGCGACTGCATCCACAGCGACCAATTGTCATCCTGCTGGAGGATCTAGAACTGTTTTGTCCACTATCCACCACGTCGGATGCCCAAAAATCGGGCAACGCTTTGAGAATTGCCGCGCAGCTTTATCAGCTGATTGATGAGTTGCCGCAACAGGGCAGCGACATATTATGCCTGGCCAGCAGCAGTGCTCCCGGTGCAGTGCATCCGCATGCTCGTCGCGCCGGACGTTTTGGGCATGAGATAAGCATTGAGATGCCCACGGAACAGCAGCGTCGTGAGCTATTTGCTGGCATATGGCAGGAGGAACAAACACCTGAGCTAGCTCCACTCTTGACGCCTGCTCTACTGGATAACGTGGCGCAACAGACGCAGGGCTATGTGGTGGCCGATCTAACACTTCTCCACCGGCAGCTTCAACAACAAATGCTGTCCCTAAAACCGACTCCAGTTGAATTCGAGCGTTTGCTAACCAAATCTCTGTTGCAGTGCCAGCCAAGTGCCTCGCGGAGCACCGATGTGCGTGTCCTGAAGCTAACCTCTGGCTTTGAGATCATTGGTGGCATGGAGTCGTTGAAGCGTACGCTGCAGGTGTCCGTTTTGGCTGCACTGCAGCACAGCGCGGCACATGCGAGATTTGGCCTGAGTCTGCCCAGGGGCATTCTGCTTTATGGTCCACCTGGTTGCGCCAAGACGACGATTGCCAAGTGTCTGGCAAAGGAGGCGCACATGACCTTTATAGCCAGCTCAGCGGCGGAGGTTTACTCACCCTATGTCGGCTGTGCGGAGCGATTTGTCACACAAATCTTTAATACGGCACGCAAGAATGCGCCCTGTCTCATATTTCTGGACGAGATTGACTCACTGGTCGGGCGACGCACAGTAACAAACGGGGGCGGCGGCGGCAGTGTTCAGCTGCGCATTCTTTCCACACTGCTCACCGAAATGGATGGCATTGTTAGCGCTGGCAGTGGTCAGCAGCATATACTCGTTGTGGCAGCCACCAATCGTCCGGATATGCTGGACGACGCCCTGCTGCGTCCCGGTCGCTTTGACAAGCTCATTCATGTGCCAGCTCCGGATTTGGAGTCACGTCTCGCCCTGCTCCAGCTGCATGCACGTCGCATGCCCTTCCATGCGAACATTCAGCTGGAAGAGATTGCTGCACGCACCGAACGCTACTCCGGCGCCGATCTGTGCAATCTGTGCAATGAGGCTGCCATTGAGGCCTTCCAGCGCAACTTCAATGCCAGCCACATTGAGCTGCAGGACTTCAACATCGTCTTGGCCAGGCAGAAGTCATCCCTCAGCCAGCAGCAAATTGACAGCTATTACAAATTTGCCGCTAGATATTTATAACGATCTAAATTTTAAATATTTTTTGTTTGCCATCAAATAAATTAATTTTTATAATTAAATTAATCTTGGTATTTAAATTTTGATGGCATTTTTTACAGATGGTTTTGTATATAGGATATATACAATTTTTTGTAGCTGAAAATATTGATTCTCCAATTAATGTAAGAAGGAGATTCGTTTACATAGATAAGAAACCCGAAAATATTTCGAGCTACAACCAATTTATTAGGTGCTGAGTATAATTCCAAGCATTCTATAGCTTCTCTAGTATCATTTGGTCAACTAAACTCCTTGTTCAATTAATATATTTTTAATAATTACCCGGCGTAGCTTGTTATTTAAATTTGGAAAAGTTCAATGATACTTGACTAATATATCTCTTCCAATCTAAAGCAATATTTGAATGTGAAAAGTATTTTCTAGTTTATAATTTTGTATACTTCTTGAGAGCATATTATAATCTGTTGCTATTGAAGACCTTTCCAATCCTTTTATCTATGTAGGTCTGCAATAGACCAATATATAAGTCCAAAATATTCTATGGCTTGCCTAATATCATTTGGGCAACTGAGCTTGTCCCTTACAAACCAAATGCTCTTCACAAGTTAAGTTCATAGTTAATAACTGTATCTCATACTCCTTTTTTGGAAGTGTCCGTCACAACTTCTTTAGAGATCATAAATAATAATTAAGAACATTAAAAGTTTTCATATTTTTGCTTTTATATTTATGAATTTTTTTTTGTACATTTATAATTGTTGTTGTTGTTGCTGTTGGGCTCAGATCGTTGCTTTGTACACAGTTCGGTTGTTCGACAGATTCCATGGGCAAATGCAATGAATGCTCCTTCAGCCTCGCTCCTTGGACACGCTGCGCCTGTGATGGTGTTGGCGTCTGGGCGAATCGCGTCTCGGCTCTCGCTCCCTGCGTGCTGGACGCGAGTCGCGTTCCCTTTTTCGCTCCCGTTCCCGTTCTCGTTCTCGATCCCTTTCCGGCTCCCTCTCCCGTTCCCTATCTCTGTCACGTTCCCTTTCCCTATCACGCTCCCGTTCCCGATCTCGTCCCTTGTCGCGTTCTGTGTCCCGTTCCACTCTTTTGCTGCTGCTCCGGCTATCATCTTCAATATGCCTTCCACGACGATCTCGCTCACGCTCCCGCTCCCGCTCCCGCTCCCGCTCTCGCTCCCTCTCACGTTCCCTCTCTCGAGGCAGCTGCCTTTCGGCTGATGCCTCCCGTCTGCCACCATGTCCATTTCCATTGCCGTTTCCGTTATGCTGTTGTCGTGCTGCTGGCAATGCAGTGGGTCCTTCCAGATTGAAGTCATCGCTGTCATGCTTTTGACTCCTGGAAGCCGGTTTTGATTTGCCACTGCTGCTGCTGTGATTGTTGTGGTTGGTGTTGTTAGTATTATCTCTGCGTTGGATTTTCGGCTGCGGCTCAACGCTAGCGGAGGATGTCTCAGAGGAGGAGCTGCTGTTGTTTTCGTTCTCGCTGCTGCTGCTGGAACTGGAACTGCTGCTGCTCTGTTTACGTTTGCGCTTTGAGTTCTTCTCCGCCTCCGTCGCCTTTTTCTTCTTTTGCTTCTCCGTTTTCTTGGACTTTTGCTTCTCGTTCTTCTTATCCTTGGACTTTTTGGACTTGCGCTGCTTTTTGGACTTCTTCTTGCGCTTCTCCTTGTGCTTGTGTTTGCGCGCGGGTTCACTGGATTCCGAACTGGAGCTGGACTCGCTGTCGCTTTCCTCATCGCTGCTGTTGTCCTCGCTGGAGGAGCTGCTCGATGAGCTACTGCTGGAGGAGGAGGAGGAGCCTTTGACAACGTTCGCCACTTGACCAGCAGCCGATGCATCCTTGAAGGGATTGCCGCTGGCAAGTATCTCCGCATTGATGGCCGGCACCGTCTTGGGCGCATTCTTCAGGAAACGACGCAAATCATCCGTTAGCCCACCCAAACCAATCGACGTGAAGAAGTTAATCGAGAAACGTGTATTGCGGGGATTATCCTTGGGGAATAGGCCCGCCAAGCTGTCCAGCAGCACATCCTCCTTCAGCTTGCCATTCAGCTTGCCTAGCCCCATATATTCCGCCAGCTCCTGGAATAAGATCTTGATGAAAATGCGACTCGAAGATGTCGTATCATCCTCGTTCAATTGAATGCACTCGAGCACATCCCAACTGATGGCATCCGTGAAGAGCAGATGGGCAAAGAATTTGCTCACATTGCGCAATCGATTCGTGTCCAAGCGATGCGTCGTCTGATACGTATCCTTGAAAATCTCCTCAAACGGAGGCACATAGATCTTATTGATGCTGCAGAAGCGCTGGGCGAGCAGACCATAGAACTTCTCGTAGGTCCGCTGCTCGGCGCAGCAGTCGAGGAACATGTGACACAGCTCCACTTCCTGGCCCGGCTTCAGTTGCATCTTCATCAGCTTGTGCGCACACTCCTCGTAATCCAAACTCGAATTGATTGTCAAATAAATGGTGCGACGCAATGCAATCAAATTGGTTTCCGTGTTGTCAATAATATCGCCGCCAGCTGTTGTCTTCTCTCCATTGCCCTCGGCACCCGAGCCGGATTCAGCATCGGAATCGCTCTCAGAATCCGAGCCAGAGCCGGAGGAGCCACTGCCAGAGCCACTGGCATCGCTGCCAAGAATCTCAGAGCTCAGCGCCTTGTATTTCTCCTCATTCTCCGCAAAGTTCTCGTCAAACTTGAAAACGTCTGCGCAAAAAGTGGAAAAGATTTATAAATTTAATGAAAAAAAAAATTATTTTATTTACTCACTGAGAATATCCTCCGTTTCGGTGGCTTCGTCCAGCATCATGAGATGCGTAAATTGATCGTCCTCCTCGACTAGCTCCAGATCATCGACAATCGCCGGATGATCCTTGAAGCCATCCTTGCGCACCTGGAAGAGCACCTCGATCATATACTGCACCCTTCGGTCCAGTTTGCCCTCGTGGAGAATGTTGCGCAACATCTCGAAGATTGCACCTATCCCCTTCGAGGAGACTTCGGTCAGTTTCATGCCGCACTCCTTGAGAAATGAGATGGCCACCTCGACGGAATCATCGGTGGGCATCTCCACCAGCAGCGTCAGCATCTCCAGCGCCAATATCTCATGTGCCACCCGCTGATTGACCAGATGACCAATGAATCGAGTAGCTGACATGCAAACCATTTTATCGTTGCGACGAAAGGCGCGTCGAAATTGAATCACCAGACGCTTGAGCAGCAGTTCCCCGATATTGGGAAACTTGGAGTTGATGATGGCCACCAGGGCGGCATAGACATGCGTGAAAGTGGGAGACGCAGCCTGCGCTTGGATTATGCTGCGACACAGCAAACCGCGTCCCCGTACAATATTCTCCCGCAGCAATTCCCGGGTGATAATCGCAATATTCGTCACGTTCACCTTGTTGATGTAGCCATGAATGGATTTCTTGAGCGCCTCCCAAGCGATGCGTTGATACGCCGCCGATGCTTTGTCTGTGATCTCCGCCTGCATTAGACGCAACTTGGCCGGTGGAATATAGGCACCGCCTGTGCGCGATGTGAGCACATCCACAGTGCGTCGCTGGCGTTCGCTAATCTTTGCCGTTGGCTCAGTCACAGTGGCATTATCGGCATTCTCAGCGGGCGGTGTTGCCTTCTCTCCACCGGGACTACGCTGATCTTTAATGGATCCTTCGCTGCGTCGTCGATGCTGATGACGCTTCTCGCGCTCCCGCGCACGCACCTCATCCCGCTTGTCGCGCTCGTCGTGTCGCCTCTGACGCTCCATGCGTCGTCGCTCCAGGGAGCTGGAACGCCGGCGCACCGGACTCACGCTACGACTGCGCGGCGAACGTGTTCGTCTTCGTCGTCGACTGCGAGGTGAACGACTGCGACTCGCACTGCGACTGCGACTACGACTCGAGTGCCGGCGACGACGTTGTCGCGTCTCCTCCTCATTCTCCTTGCTGCGTCTGCGCACCTCGCTAGCAATTTTAGGCAGTTTCCCTGACGACTCGGCTGCAGATTTGTTGTGTTCCTTTGCCTCTGCCTCCGCCTCCTGCTGCTTGTCATCTGCGCTTGTTGTTGCTGCTTTGATGGGCGAATCATCGTCTTTCTGCAAATCAAGTGAAAATTACGTTACTTAATATTTTTATGCACTTAAAGAGCGTCTTATCTTTGGAAGAAAAAAGATAAAAACCTTTCCACTTCAATAAACAAGTGTACAATATTTACTTAATACTTACATCGGTAATTTCGCCTTCCTCCACAGCAGCGCCCACTGGCTGCTCCAACTCATTGCAGGCTACATCTCCATTTGTGGTCACTAAAGGCTCCATCGACTTTTCCTCCTCCTCCTCCGCCTTCTCCTCCTTTTTTTCCTTCACCATCTTCTCCTCATTCTGCTTCTCTTCCTCCTCCTTCTCACTGAGCTCTTCCTTCCGAACATACTTCTTCACATCCTCCTCCTCCTTGCGCTCCTTGCCAGATGTCTGATCTGTCTGCTCAGTTGGCAGCTCTGTTCGCGTTTCGCATGTTTCCACTGGGTCTGTTTCTGTTTTTTCAGGCTTTGCTGCTTCTTCTTTTTCAACTTTTTTCACCTCAGACGTGGCTGCAACGTTTGCTGCACTTTTACTTGTGTCATCTGACTGTCGTTGTTGTTCTTCTTCCTTGTCAGCTTGCTTAGATGCCTTTAGCGTTTTTTCCTTTTCAATTGTTGGCTTCTTATCACGTTTCACATCTGCTTCTTCCTTGTCACTTGGCTGTCGACTGCGGCTGCTGCTGTCGCCACCGCTGCTGCTGCTGTCGGTGCCGCTCGTTGTTGTGGCACTGCTGCTGGTGGAGCTGTTGCTCGCATCGCTATCGGGTTCACTGTCGGGCATCCTTGATGCACAAATGCTTGCACACTTCGAACGCAAAAATTTGTTCTATCAACGCCAATGAAAATTTGTACACCTAAACGTTGGCAAACGCGGCCGCTTGTTCAGCGGTTTTGCTTGAGCGAAATGTGGTAACCCTAATCAAGCGCTGTGTTGCATTCTGATGATTATGTGCAATGATCGATATACCGATTGCCTGACTTGATTTACTTTGGCGCCAAATTGTCTTTCAATTTATTAAATTACAATTTATCCAAGTAGACATTCAAACAAATATCTAGGATACAGTTGAACTTATTACAGTAGATACTCAACAACTAAAACTGAAGATCTTTTACTGATATTTTATTTCTAAAATTGTAATAAAAGCTAAATTAAAAACATTTTTATTAAAGCGAGGACGGCAGGTAAATTGGTATGAAAAATGAATACTTTTTAGAGCTAATTTTCCTGCATTCGCAACCAACCAGGTGTACGATAAATAAGGATTCAAATATGTCAACGCGTGCGGTGAACGTATTTTCATGCAACAATACTGAGAAGACTTTCTCCCGATTCGCAATTTTAGCGTGGTGCAACAAGCTGCTCGACAGCAATATACAAAAAATTGATGATCTTTGCACTGGAGCCGCGTATTGTAGCCTAATGGATATTCTATTTCCCGACTCTATAAATTTAAGCCATGTCAAATTTGATAGTCGTGTGGATCGGGATTATATACACAATTTTACAGTGCTGCAGAAATGCTTCACTAAACTCAAAGTCAAAAAGGGCATACCCATTGAGAAGCTGATCAACGGCAAATTTCAGGATAATTACGAATTCGCCATTTGGTTTCGTCGATTTTTCGATGCGAATTATGGAAAACAAATCGAAACCGAAACAAAAATCGCGCGCTGTAAATCTGTTTCATTAGAAAAATTGATAACCTGAATTTTGTTTGGGTAAACTTCAATAACACAAATTTTAAATTATAAAAAACGTCAGTTAACAAAAAAAAAAAACACATTTTGGATTGTAGCAACAAAAACATTTGCATTAAATATATTTAGTTTACAAGTCGTAGCCTAGTAAATACATACTAGTTATCATATTATATTATACATTAAACTATAAAAACAAAACATGGGAGGATTTAAGCACTTTCCGGGTTTGGTTTCACTGTTTCGGGTTTTTTGGGCTTGACATCGTCATCATCGCTGCTGCTGCTCGAGGAGCTGGAATCAACAGCCTTTGTGCGCTTCTCCGGCACCGTATATGGGAACTCCTGATTCTTAGCCTCGACGGCCTGCTTGAGACGCAGCAGAGCTGTGCGATTAATATTCTCCAGCGAGACATCCTTGATGGCATTCGCCAGCACCTCCATCGCCTTCTCCGGATTACCCTTGGTCGTCTGTATATCGATCAGACAGGAGTAGGCATTGCCAATTGCACCCTCGGATATTTTGCTGTCACGCAACTGTGAGATGACAGTGGCGGCCATTTTATCGTCCTGTTGCTCGCGTGCCGTTTGCAACACACGCTGGAACATCAGGCGTGGCGCATTGGACAGATGCTTGTCCCAGATCTGCTTGGAGGCCGCCTCCTGATTGTGCGACAACAGATGCATCCACAGCACATTCATGGGACCCAGCTGATTGTGGGCGGCATACTTCTCAGCCAGCGATTCGTCTAGAAAAGTAGATAAAGATGGCTTCATAAAGTCAGGTATCTAAAAATATGATTCATTTACTTACATTGTGCCACCAGCTCGGGATGTTTGTCGAGGATGCCAACGGCGCCACCACGCGGAAACTTCTCGGCTATTTTAGTGGCCTCCTCAGGCGACTTGGCCGCTTCAATTTGGTCACTGAGCTGCTTGAGGAACTGCTCGGCCTTGCCGGCCACAATGTGAGCATGGCAATAGCGATTATCAAAGGACACGAGACGCTTCTGTTCATCATTCAGCTGGTCGCCAATGCGTTGCAGTCTCTCCATATCCCCGCCAGCGGCAATTTTATTCAAATAGTATTTGAAAATCTTGGGTTGCGGATGCTGCTTATCGGCGAGCAGTTGATCCACATATTTGCTAGCCTCCGTCAGGCGATCAGCGCGCACGAGGAGCTCAATTAGCCTTGAGGTGTCCAGCACGCTGATCTTCTCGCCGCTAATGAAACGCTCCCGATAGGCAATGGCGCCATCCGGATCATTGCCTTGGATGGCGCGACGAAAGCCGGCTATGTTTGAGATGGGTTTGGGCGTCTGTTTGGTTTCCTCCAACTTGTTCTGCTCCTTCTCTGTTTTAAGTGGCTGTTCGACTTGTGCAGCGGCTGTTGCTGCTGCTCCCGCTGCCTTTCCACGTTTGCTCTTCGGCTGCTGCTGCTGCATTTCTGGCACCACGAATGGCACCTCCATATTCTTGCGCTTCAGCAGCTCGGCAAGCTTCAGCAGAAATGCATCGGTGGGTGTCACAGCCTCCTCCTGCATTTTGGTCCACAGACCGAGCGCCTTCTCCGACTCATCGGCCTTGTCATAGCTCAACAAGAGTGTGTAGTAAATCTTATTGCGATCAATGTGCCCAAGATCCTTGGTGGCCTCAATCAGACCCTCCAGCGGTTGCAGCATGCCCTCATTCTTATACCGATCACAGGCGGTGCTGATGCGTTGCGGACGTGTTCTCAAACCAGGCGTCTCAAGGATTTTGCGGGCCTGGCGCACACGACCGCATTCCACAAAGGAGAAGACCAGATCATAGAGACTATTAACCTCGCCATGAATGCTGGTGCTGAGATCTGTGAGTCGCTGCAAATTGGCTGCATCCTCTTTCTGGATGAGACGACAGGCGAGCTCATTCTTCCAGGGGGTTGCCTTGTGCTGCTGGCAAATCTGTTCGAAGGCATCGATCGCCTTGGGTATATCATCTCGGCTCAAGTGCACCTTGACGAGTGGACCCAGCAGCACATTGGTCGGCACCACATAGTTTCCCGTGACGAGTGCATCGAAGACGCGCTTCAATTTATCCGCATTGCCCGTTTCCGCGATCGCGTTGAGTATGCGCCACACTGTGCTGATGTAATTGAAGCTGCCTTCGCCGTCGTTGAACAGCGTCTCCTTCTGATTCTCGCCGAGCAGCTGCAGTGCCGGCTCCACTTGATCCTCCTGCAACAGCAGATCCGCTAGACGCACTGCCTTAAAATTGTCCAGCTTAAAATTGGCATCTGCCTGTCGCAGCTTGTTGTATTGCGCCAGTGCCTCTGAGCTACGCTTGTGGAACGTGTACAGGTCAACCAGTTGCGCTTCGATGCCAATTGATATCTGGAATTTTTCCTGCTGCAGACGCTCGATCACCTCGATCGTCTTCTCCAGATTCTGTGAACGGAAGCAGGCATTGAGCAGCTGTCGCTTAATATTATTGGCATTCTCGCCCTTCGCCTCCACGTTCTTGATGAAGCGCTCCAATTCTGTAAAATGTTTGATTAATTTATAAACCAAAGACATACTAATTTCCAACTCACCATCAATGGTCAGCGTGTCCAAGGCGCGTTTGCCGCTATTCGGTAGTGGGATGGGTTCCAGTTCACCGGAGCTGAGTTTGCCCAGCTGCTCGGATATCAAGGGCGTCATCTCGGAGCCGAGTAGCTCCGACAGCGTCGTTGCCGTTGTGCTGCTCACGGATAATCCCTGCTTGACCAGACCCTGTAGTATCTTCTCCAGCATGGGCACACGTTCCCGCCTGAAATAGTTGGCCGCCTCGTACACAATGCTGCCGACAACATCGGGCGTATTCCGCTCTACATCCACGTTGGCCGCGACTTGTTCCGTTTCCTCCACCGAATCCTTGACAGCGCCGTTGCGTATTTGCAGACCCTCGTGCATCTGACGCACGCAACGTATAAAGGAGGCAAAATCATTGGTACTGCCTAGCGCCATGATGAGTGGCTGGCGGAAGAGCATAGGCACATAGTAGGCACGATTCTGTTCCATAATCTTGGCAGCATCCGCCAGCTGATGGGTGCTCAGCGCCGCATAGACGGCGGATGTAACTGCCGTGGAATTGGGCACACCAGCATCGCGTAGCACGGTCACAATACGCTCCCAGTTCTTCTCCTTCAGATTGGGGATCACATAGTCCCGAATGGTCTCCGAATTGGGATTCAGTGCAAATTCCTGTTGCATGCGACGCACAATATCCAGCACCTGACTCGTGTCCACCGAGCAAAACAGAGGCCAGAAATAATGCTGGCGAATCGGCAAACCCAAATTCTTCATCTCTTGCAACAGGGGCAGAGCATTGTTCATGGCACCATTTGTCAGACCCGCCTCCGTGGCAATTGTCAGTGCCTTGGGATTGAGACCCTCCGCTTTCAGCGTACGACAAATGCTGAGAATTTTCTCCACCGGACGATTGGCCTTGACCAGCTGGCGTATATAGAAGGCGCCCACATCGACAAGTTCCCCATTGACACGCGTGCTGCGTGGCATCAAACGGAGCAGCTTCAGTGCGACATCCTCATAGCCATTGTTCACCAAACGGAGTATAATATTAACTGCATCCTGATTGAAACCAGCCGAGATGCGCAACTTGGTTAGCAGTCCATCTACGTGTTCGCCATGCCCATTGATCGTGAGTGTGTAGATAATATCCAGCAGATCCTTGTCCAGCAATATGATTTCCTTTGGCTCGCATTCGGCGAGCGTAGCCTGTAGAGCATCGATATCGCCATGTCGCGCAAAGGCGCACAACAGCGTCGTATATGTGTCCGCACTGGGCTCCAGGCCCGCCTGCCGCATCACGCCCAGAATGCCTTTGGCAGACTCCAAATCGTTGGCCTAAAAAAGAATTGCATTAAATAATTAGAAAATTAAAATCACATTTTCGAGCATTTTTCTCACCTGCGAGTGTCCCAGAATCAATGAGTTGAAAACATTTTCATTGACTGGCAAACTCTTGCCACGCATAAACTCCAAGATCCGCGTGGCCCCCTCAATGTCACCCTGCTGGCAATATCTGGTTATCAAATGCTGATATGTCACCCGATTGGGTTCAATGCCTTTGGCCTCGATCTCGGCGAGAAAATCGGTGGGCGCAAACTGATGTTCGTTCTCCAGATACACACGCAACAGGGCATTATAGTGCGAGATATCCATGGGCACATTCAGAGCGTTAAGTGTCTTCCAGATCTCCTGGACGAGAGCGGTGCGCACCTCAGGCAACTCCTCGGGCACCAGATTGCCACAGCACCGTATCACGAGCAGCGATTGCGAACTTGTCGCCGTTCGATGAGTGCGTATCTCGTCGAGCACCTCCTCCAGATCCCGTCGCGAAATGCGACCCATCCGACGTGCATCCTGATCCAATCTTCGGATTTGCTTGTCCAGACTCAGCTCGGCCTTCGTCGCTGCTGCATTGCTAGCAAAGCCACTGCGAGGAGGAGTGAATGAAATCTGTTAGAGCTAGTATATATTACGTATTAAATCTATATATTTATTCTTTACTTTGTTAACATTTTTATTCTGTACCCCAAAACATGATGTGCACTTTGAGGTTATGCAAATGTGCCAAGAATTTTCACAATTTTCTCACTGAAATACGCCGCAGATGGCATATTCTTCAATTACCTGACAGCTGTCCAGCAAATTTGCTTAGTTTAATTGCATTTTGCTGCATTTATTTACACAAATAAACGCACGCATTGCGTAATGCCGGGCGGAATGAGGGAGAAAGAGAATGAGAAACTTCGAAACTTACTTCTGGAACTGTCCGCACATGCAGGGCGCCGATTGTAGGAGATTGTTGCTCTCGCAGTCGCGCACTGAGTTGACGACAACGTTACGCGTGAAGCCAGCGAAGTAGCGCAACAGTTTACCCGTTCGCAATATGGATGCCATTGTAAATTAACTATATATTTATTAATAAAAACAATAGCACAAATTTCGTCAGCGAGAGCAGCGCACACAAAGTGATGTAACGGTGTGACCGTAGGCGACAAGTGCATAAATACCCTAAGCGCAAAAGTGACCATGTTAAACGCAATGTGAGCTAAAAAAACCTTGCGAAAAGCTTGGTGCGCCTTATGCGCCGATAACATTACAGAGATCTACATCAACGACATATTTCGCTTCTCTCGCAGTGTTTGAAAATGAGTGCGGTACGTTTGTGTAGTAACTTTAAATGTAAAATCCATCAAATTAATCCATCAGATGATAACATCTATATAGAATTGAGTGGTAAGCAAGCATTGTAGCAACAACGTGCCAAATATGGTCTAAGAGTGTCAGACAATCAGGCTGACTGCCGATATAACCTAACCTAACCTAAAAGTGCTATAGTCGAGTGAGCTGGATTACGATATACCCTGAACCCAATTGTTAAATATATTCTAGTTTTATTGGAAAATTTCCCTCTAAAAAGTTTTGCACCAAAATGTGAGAGCAAGTCTGCAATTGCGCTCTGTCGATGAACACGTGAATATTCATACATATATACGTATATGCAATCGTAACGGTGTAACGTAATGGTGCTCTGCAGAATACACTCAAAAACATTATCATGCCATCTCTTTCTCACACATGCACGCTCATATTCATGCATACGCAAAATGGTTGCGACCGCTGATGGAATAGAGATCAATATGAGAATATATTTTCGACTATAACTTGAGTGTTTCTTATGCGATCTTGAGGCAATTTGGGTAGTTGATCAATAATATGTATAGGTCTATTCAGTATAACTTAGAATTCGATTCTGCCTTTAAAATTGCAGCATTTATTGCTATCGGAATGATTTAAAATATTATTTTCAAATACGAAACGTAGTACAATACATCCACAATTCATATATATTTTGTAAAGGGGAGGATGGGAACACAGTGGATACGGATGTGTAACTTAAAAAGGAAAAATGAAAATACAGAACCAAAATCAGCATTAAGATGTAGTCTAACATTAATTATAAAAACATTCTATAAGACATTGGGCATTTAAAAATTGAGTTTACATTTTTTTTTTATTAATTTCGCTTGGTGACTTTCTACATGCATACCATATAAGAAATGAAATAAAGCTATTAAAAATAACATTTATTCGTTTTGAAATTTTTTTTAAATTTTACAACGACAAAAAGCTTAATTTATCATATAATATTTTTTGTATACACAAAAATATTGTATATCTCAGTTTGATTACTTATATTAAAGATTTCAACATTTCAAACAAACGTCACGACTATATCATCTGGCTGGAAGCTCCTGAACGCTTTGCTTATAGCTGATGCAAGAAATTTTACTAGAAATTCCAATATAGGAACGCATATGACATCAAAGTCAGCAGCGCACCGACTGATCAACGAATGAATGGGGGAAGCAAGTGCCCAAAAGCTGTTTACACCGATACGGCGATAGAGTGAGAGAACGCGAGCTAAATATTTGCGTGCGTTCTGCAATTGCTTGCTTGGCACAGAGTTGCCAACATTTGCAATTGTTTCATGCAAAACTCACGAGTTCATTATTTTGATTTATTTATTGTGTACCACTCAATCAAAACACTTACATATATTAGAATATTATAAAAAAAAAAATGAAAATAAATTTATGTTATAGTCAAAACATTTTTTACATATTCATTTAATTTTACGAATCTTATACAAAATTGCTCGTTAGCAAAGTGAGCTTTGCGAATTCATAAATTTACTTGCGAATGGGAACTCCCCTTTAACATTTTGCATTTTGTTAAACGAAACACTCTGTTAGGCTTCGAAGGGGCAATGTTTATGCAACCGCAAATCAGCTCATTGAGGGATACGATTCGAAGAGAAACTCAACTCGTCGCTCTCTTTTCTTTTGCAGCGCCGTCACCAAAGAGTAAGATTATGGCCTTTTTGTTTTTGCATGGCACGTCATTCCATTACTGCGGCGCACTGTGGAATAAATGTAAGTTAACTTCGAAAAAATGTAGCAATTAGAAGCTACGCTGAGCTGGAACCAAACTATAATTCGAGTCAAAAGTTATATAAAGTCAATAAGAATTTTTTTAATATTTAAATTATAAAACAACAATGGAAACAGGCGAAAAGTATCATTGCGTACAATTTTGAGTAAAGTTTCAGCCGTGCTGCCCATGGTACAGCTTTCTTTTGTTGCCTGCGTCGCTGGTTGCATTCATTTGCGAAAGATTCGTTGCACATCGCGGTCGCTTGCGCTTTTCGCTCTCTGCTTGTTCTTCCTCCATTTTCGTCGCATTCACTTTGCAAAGTTTACTTGTTCCTGTACTCGTACGTGTAATTATATTTGTATTTGTGTGTTGGTTTTGTTCAAGTGCTCGGGCATAATTTTTCGTTTCACGGCTTTTTGCGGCTTTTCGCGTCGTCATCGCCGCCGTCCGTTACATTGCCGTTGGGCCGTTGCCCGTTGTTGTTGTTGTTCCTGTTGTCTTTGTGTTGTATGTGTGTGTGTACTCTCTCTCTCGCTCTCGCTCTTTTCCATCAGCAATTTGCATTGCAGGTGCGTTGTACTTTTACGATCGCTACGTCTGTGGGCGGCTCATTTTTCAACACTGGTAAGCATCCCATCGTTGCCACCTTCTGAAGATGATAAAAATCCATTGCATTCGATTACAACACATACACACAGAAACACGTAGACACGTACGGACACGCATATATGCAAGCAAGACGTCAGCAAGTGCGCGACTGCATTACAACAATTGCCTAAGTGAATGAGCGAGTGAGAGAGCGACAGAGCCCAAGAGAGAGGGTGTGAGGTGTGTGTGTGTATGTGAATGTGTGTGAGCAGACAGATGAAAATTGCAATCACAACACACACACACAAACATTTTGCGCCACGCAAAGGCGGCCGGCACTTCGAGCTTCCACTACTCGCATTCGTGTGCGTGTGTGTAATTGTCTGATTATTTTCGTGTGTGTGTATGTACGGATGTACATGTGTGTGTGTTTCTGTGTGCTTTGGATGCACTTGGTGCGATTCATTTGCTTTTATTACCATTTTTGCTGGTCTCTGCTGGCTGCGTTGGCGTCTCTTCCTCCTTCTCCTCCAGCACCTCTCCACCGGCTGCTCGTTTTGTGTTCTTTGCTTTTGCAATTGCACGAACGACCGAGCGACGACAACGGCGACGTCGACGCGTTGACTTTGATCGGCATCGGCTCTTTTAGTGGGGAAAAATGGCAACTCTGGCCAAACGTTGGAGAATAAGTTCTCTACCCTTTTGTCAGTGTGAAGCGCGACTTTGAAATGTACGGTACGCAGCGGCAGACTGCAATTAAAAAAAAAAATTCCAATTTTTATGTGATGCAAAATTTAACAAATTGTTTAAAAAACCCAAAAAAAAAATCCAATAAACAAACTCAAGTGAAAAATAAAAATGTACAAATTGTTATAAATAATATAATAAAACATTGAGTAACATAAAATAAAATCCAAAAAGGCAATCTGCAATTAAACACACTAAATTTCATCGTAATAAAAAGCATTTTTCTGCATTGACGATGACCTACGACAAAGGAAATGAAGTCATACCAATACACAGACAACACTCACTCACTCACACACACTCACCACTCACACATTCAAGTGCAGCTAGGCAAGCGAATAAGTAAAACAGCAAAAAAAAAAGCAGCAGCAGCAGCAAGCAGGCAGGCAACTACAACAACAGTGCTACCCTACCAACCAACAACAAGAAAGCGTCAGCAATGAAAAAGCAAATACGTTGACGTCGCAGTCGCTGTCGTTGTGCTTGCACTGCGCATGCACATGCACACGCATACCAATGCAATCGGCGCACAGGCACCGTGCACTGTTTGCTTGTATTTGTGCGCTTTGTTCGTTGCTTGGGTGCAAAAAAAAGACAAAAAGAAAAAAAATGAAGAAAATAAACTTAATATAGGGGAAAAACTTGAGAAATTATTCTAAAAATATATATTTAAATTGTAAAAACAGCATTTAAAATCAAATGTGAAAATAACAAGAAAATTTGCAAGCATTTCAAGCATTTTTTCTTGGCTCAATTTTATTTCTCTTTATTTTCCGCAGTTATGTATTAAATTTTATAATTTATTTATATGCGCGTATATAAAAACACGTATGTATAAGTGTGTACACACTTAAATTTAATATGCGCGTCATGCTCAAACGGCAGTTGAATGCACTCCGCTGCCGTCCGCTGATAATGAAAAAAATCAACAATAATAATAAATTGTTTTTTTTTTTTTTTATAAATTTATGAAAAGAGATTAAATTTTGTATACCGTATTTTCAATCAATATACACAACATTTACAAGCAAACTATCTTTTTGGCAAACACATAATTAAATAGAAACATTTTCTCCATTTATTCTTATGAATAGTGATTTACAATTTTTAGTGAGATTTTATCAATAACGTATGAGGCTTTTGTAAATTTTCTTCTTATCGAATTGCTCCATTTATTGTATAAGTTATTTATGCATTCGATGAGTCATTTACAAAATTTTGCATTCCGGGCTTGCAAACGACCTTGAATTGCTCTATTATAAACATATAGCTACACATATATACATACATACATATAGTAAAGAATAGGAAACCTTTCAGTTATATATACTATAGAACTGCACACATACACAAATTACTCATCTGGCATTTGCCACGAAATCAAATCAAATCAACACCACAGAATACATACAAATAAATTAATACAAATTTACCACTATCCAAACACACATACAAATAAACTTGTGTGTGTGTGTATGTATGTGTGTATAAACAATTGCAATTACATAAATAATACACAACAATTAAAAACAAAATGCAAAACTGACTCGGAAATCTGAAACTGCGCACGCGTTGCATTTTTTTTCAAGACCAAAAAACTAACAACAAATAAAAACAAATTGCATAGTAAAAATACCCAAAGAAAAAACAACAAAATAGATATAAAGGAAAATAAAAAGAAATGAAAAACTATTAGCAAGAAGCAAAAAACCGAAGCGCAGCTCGGTAAAAAGCAACGCAAGTGAGAAAGGGATAGCAGCTGTTTTTGCTGTCGGCATCGCCTTTGAGGCTCTAAGGACAATGGTTCAAGTGCAAAGAGGATGCCGCGCCAAACGGAGAGTGCAACACCGACACAGGGACAAGGACAGGGACTGGGAGAGGCAGCAGCGGCAAACAGGAAACAGGGAGACAGTGCAAGGACGCGCATTTGCTTTTCGCCGCTTTTGGCCTGTGTGTGGTGAGTTTTAGCCTGCACAAATACAGTGAATAACAGCTACAATGAAATAAATTTAAGTTGACTTTAACCCACGTCCTATGAAATGTGAAGCAGCAGGCAAACGTGAGGAGAATTCACAAGAAGTTAATAGCAAACAAGAAATAGCAAATAGTGCAAATCGTATGAATGCATATTAGTTTAATTGAATTATCAAATGCTAATATTAATCGGCCGTAAGATAATGTCGGATTTCGATTTCGTTTACGGTTCTAAATTTCAATTGGGGCCGGGTCCGCTGTGACATTCTGATAAATAGGAATACTATGATATTCAATTCAGTGCATTATTGTATTGCGTATACGCCGTGTGGTGAATTTACACATTTGCATATGTATTTTAGAACATTGCTCCAGCCATGCAGGCATGCAGCCAGCCAGGCAACCAGTCAGCCAGCCAGCTAGCATCTATTTATAGCATGCAGCCCCTAAAAAATGGAGCAAGAGCTTTCAGAGCTCCAACTGGGAACCGAAAACTCTGCCCTTGAATGGACGCATTCCGCTGGCTGCCCACACAATCGAATATGCATAAACAGATATATATATATATATATATATATGTGTATATATATTCAGATATATAACTGGGCACAGCTGGAAACCAGTTGTTGTTTTTGTTTTTGTTGCTCTTGTTCCGAGTAGCTGCATATGTCAATTCAGTGAAGCATTGATTCCCTTGCACTTCATTGCAACCTCCGCCTCCTCCCACTCCTTGCCACATGTCCTTGCTTAGCGAACTCTGCATACTTTGACATTGATACAGCGTGTATGCGTGGGTGTGTGTCTGTGTGTGTGTGTGTTTGTCTTGTGGTTTCTAGTTGCAGTGACGACGCCTCAGCTGTCAGCTGCATTTGCAATTTGATTTGTCTTCGCATCTCCATTGGCTCGCGTCTCTCTCTCTCTCTCTCTCTCTCTCTCTTTGTTTGTGGATGAAGCGGCTAGCTAAATTGTTTACAGCGACTTCAATAAATAAACCGCTGTAGGAAATATGATGACTCTATTGAAAATCACTTAATCTTATGCTCTGTGCTTTAGCAGTTTTTTTTTATGACTAGTTTTGCATTTCAGTTTATTTTGTGAGTTTGATTCGGATCTCGTGTTTAGCAAAAAAGTTTATCATATAAGAGATTATCTTCCGACCGACTGTTGCTCTTAGAGCTATGGGATATAGTAGTTCGATCTAATATAAAAAAATATCATTAAAGCAAAGAACTTTGACTAATATAATTTTAATTACCTGGTGTTAAATGTAATGCTTAATAAATGTATAATTTGCATGAAATTGAAAACCATTAAATTGAACTCAGTTGTATTTTCAACAAAAGCAGCTAAAGTTTAAATCAGTGCTTTGCTTTACATCGTTATGAGGACTAACTTTTTGCTATAGTGCACTCAACATTTCCGTTCAGCTAACCCTTTGTGCTGGTTATTATTCAACACTGCGTATACGTAATTTGTATAAGGGCATAAACATAAAAAGAAAAACCAAACTGAGAAGCTTATAATTGAAATATGTTTTTCACCAGTTGCCTTTGAATGTTTGGAAAAGGTTACTGTTTGTGCGCTAAGCCGTTGCTCGGACAACTGGCAAATGCAATCAAATCGTATCTGAGCGGATAGACAAAGAGCACAAAAAAGTGGCGGACTTGACTCACTAACAACTCGCCAATCGCCAGATGCAATGGCAACAACTATTGCATTGTTGTTGTTCTTGTTGTGGCTGTTACTAGTTTTTCTTTGAGCCCTTTTTTTCTGTAACACCCTCGCAGTGGGTTTTATGATTTTTTCGTTAAGTGTGTAACGTGTTGAAGTAGACCTTATTAGGTTTACGTATACTTGATTATCATTAAAAGTCTAGTCGATAATAGGCAAATACATTTGCCCCGCTATGTGAGCTTGATCGGTTTTGTTGCAATACTGATGAAACTTGAAATATGCTCATATTTAGACTTTGGGCACATGTCGCAATCAGTCGGATGAGATCACAATTTCATATAGCTGGAAAAATGTAACGCAAAAGATGTTTGAAAAAGAACTTTGGATTTGAAGACATCTTATCATGAGCATCCAATTTATAGGTTCTTTTTGGACTTTGCTCATGCTTAAATAATTTTATAATTAAAATTTTATGAAATTCTTTAATTGTAAAATACTCTGAACGAATTTGTAAAATTCGAAACGTGATTTAAGAATGGTAGGCGACAATTTTACATTGTTGATAGTTTCACTATCTTTTGTGATATTGATATTGGCCTACTTTTTAAGCCATCGATACGAATATCTCGGATCAAATTTTGAATGTTGAATGTACAGAATGTTGTCCCTAACTTGACATGCTTTAAACATGCGAGAATCTAAGGCTATAAGACCAAAACTTACAACTGACCAAGTGGTCCATGCTTCTATAGGGTATGTAACATAGTCGTGCCATTCTATTGTGTGTGCGTGTGTGTCTGTGTGTGTTTTTTTCTCCTATAAGCAGAGGTATCGCCGCCATTGCTGCAGAGTCGCGGCGTTGATAATGGCGCTGATGACGTCGTTGGCATCGCGACGACTGCTGCTGCTGCTGCTGCTGCTCTTGGAGTACAGTCATAGAGACTAATAGAGGACGGCTAGGGACAGTGGGGGACTGTGGGCACTTTATATCGTCTGTTGCCGCAGCCATAAACTACAAAATTCCTTTTAAAGCGTAAAATGCATTCAATAGATACACACAGAGGCAAAGACAGAGACAGGCACGGAAAAGAATACAGTGTAGATACAGATACAACTACAGATGCACAAGATACAGCTACAACTACAGACTTGGCTACAGTTTTAAGAACACAGCATTTAGTTACACACAGTTTGAGCAGCTCTCTCTATCTCTATCTGTATGTGTGTATGTGTGTGTGTGTATCTGTGTCTCTATGTGTATTCATATTTACTTGAAATTCAATTGGCAAACATATCTCAGGCTGTCTTCTGTTTGCTCAAGTTTCAGTTGTTGCTCGGTTTGTTGTTCTCTTTTTTGTTGTTGTGGTTGCTTTGAGCTATTCAAACTTTTTAATTCATTTCCGTTTGTTTTCTTTAATTACGCCTTAGTTTTGATCGATTTCAACGATCGTTATTTGCATCAGGTGATCAAGATAAGTTATATTTTGTTGCTTATTGTTGGTTAAACAAGCAATTCTATTAATTTAATTACTTATTATAGAAACCAGTATAAGAAAAACATGAATTTATCCGCATTGCTCTATTTTCGGTAAATATAACGCTTCGATTTTTGATACTTAATTGCCAACTAATGTCCACTTCTAAACTTATTTGCCTGATTCTTAAAACTATTTGTATAGTTCTTTAAGTTTGTATTTTAATTCGATATAATAGATCGATTTTCATTAGGTGGATCAAAATTCCCCAATACCTAATAAGTGTATAAGAAAAGAATAATAAAAATGTATTCATAAAACTTCTCGCATCACTTTTAAATCTGCATAATGTAGTTTAGTAATTCATTTCACTATAGTTTTAACTGTTCAATAAAATTCGATTGTTTACAATTTTTCGCCCAGTGTAATAATATACGAATAAATGCCCTGTTTCTTATAAACTTTCTAATAGTTTTCAATTAAAAGAATAAATAACAAATACTCAGCTTTAATGACTAACAAAACGTGATTCGAATTTTATAGTCCATTGATTAATGCCAATACTGGTCAAGGGCAACAAATCTAACCACAGGCAATAATCCAACAAGAACAGCAACAATAACACACTAAATGGTGGCCATAATTGGAATCGCTTAAGCTGCATGCACTTTGCAAATTGTATGTGTATGAGTAGTACGGGGAGGGGGAGGGGCTGTGGGTTGTCACCTGCATTTTCTGCACATTTCCGGGCTTGTCATCAATGAACCAACATGCCGAGCATAATCCCTGCTCGATGCACTCAGCAGCCTATTAGCAGCTGCCGTTTCTGTTCAGCTCCCAGCTGCATTTAATTGTTGGCCATGGCTATAAGTCCAATTGCAGTGTTTGGACTAACTGGCAACTTAGGGCTCAATCGTCTGGGTTCGCTTCACTGACTTCTGTAAATGCGCTTGTGTCTTGGATTTGGACCAGCTACAAAATATACCTTTTACCTATTTTTTTTTTTTTACCCTGCAATAGTACTTTATATTAGGGGTTAACACGCTGCAGAAGTTAACGTTATCAGAGCGTAACACTAAATGCAACGCAGCCTTCCGTGGAGGGGGGTGTTTAATTTACCCACAATGCATCTGTGAATGCATTATAAAGGTGTAATCAGTTTGCGCAGCTATTCTGTTACACCTGTGAAAGTAAAGCGCTTATAAAATCTCTTGTTCCACAAAACAAATTGATCTGTTCACTTATTACTTTTCATAGGAAATCGTCTTTTCATATTTAAATGCTGTATTCACGTAGAAGCCAAAATCCAAAGCCAAATGTTTTGCATTGAAATTCAGTTCAGTTTTGACCGATTTCTTACTGTGGAAACCTTAATCTAGGGTAACCTGCTAGTCTGACATATTCGCCTAGTTCAGTTCAACTTGTTTTCAACTATCGTTAGGTCATGACTAACCCTAACAAAAACCAATTTATTTACATAAGTCATTCAAAACTGAGAAAGAGAGGGCGATAGAGAGAGAGAGAGAGAGTGAGTGAGTGAGAGAAAGAGAGAATGCAACACTCTGGAAAACAATTGCAATTGCAAATGCATTGTAATGAATGTCATCCGTTCATTTAAATTATGTCATATTCGCATATTTTCTGACACACATTCGCAAGCGCAAACACACAGCCACACACACACACACACACCCACACCCACAAACATACACACATACTAAACAACTGCGTCTCATTAGTAATGGCAAAATGCCCCCTGGAACAATACGCCCTTCCACTTGCCCTACCACTTCCCCTGCTACTTCCATTTCAACCAACGCACGCTTTGTTTCCG